TACACTTACAGTACCCACGTACACCTTTTGTCTAGGAGTGACTCGCCTAGCTGCGATAAAACGGATGAGCCCCTGACAGTGTTGCATTTACTCATACGATGTGCAGAACTAGGGCCGTATAAAAGAAAACATTTCATATTACTTTACAAGCACCAAATTTCTTTCCATCCTTTATTAATTTTAGGCAAAGAACTTCTCATTAGACGAGTCAATTTTAGAGTTTTTAAATCATGTGCATACTTTCAATATCATCTGTTCTGCTAATTCGTTGCACGTGCTCTCTGAGGAGAGGCTGCTGTTGCGATACCTACTCTATAGAAAGCACCGGCCTCCCAGCCATTAGTCTCAAGGGAATCGGTGAGGCATCCGTGCTAGTCGATTGTTCTTATAGTGCTACTTATACGACCTCCCGTTACTCATTTTCATTGTACTCACTCATGTAGATCTCATGATTTTAAATACAATTTGTTTTACACGCGTTATTGCGCAGAACTTTTGGACCCCATACAGCCACCCAACATATTTTGTTCTGGTGCTCTTTGGCAATCATCAGTGGCCCTTGCGCCATAAAGCACCGTTCATAATCATTATACATTATGGACCTTAGGACATATAGCGTTTCACTCGTTCTCATCGACTTTGTAGAGATGCACCGATTATTCCCAACGCTCTCGAATTAGAATTACTGCCTGTTCGCGCCGTTTTGGATGTCAACCACCTTCAGTTCATTGTGCTTAAGTACAATTGATCTCTACTGACGCGACGGCTGTATCGTAGGAGTACATTTGTAATGTTTGTAGAATTAGATAGCCAATACTGCATCTCTTTATTGACGCTTTATGAACTTTACGGTCTACTTGAAAAGCAGTTGCGAGTTCTGGCGTGGCTCTGTGCTAGAACACTTGGTTGCCACGCGAAATGCTGGGATTCGATTCTTTCTGGGACCTTGGAATTTGTTTCTTTACATTCGTCGGATGAACGCAGCTGATGTCAGGTTTTAAGGGCAAAGCTCCTTAGTGTGTGGGTCGTTTCCTCCTCCGCTGGTATGTATGTATGTATGTATGTATGTATGTATGTATGTATGTATGTATGTATGTATGTATGTATGTATGTATGTATGTATGTATGTATGTATGTATGTATGTATGTATGTATGTATGTATGTATGTATGTATGTATGTATGTATGTATGTATGTATGTATGTATGTATGTATGTATGTATGTAGCCACCTCTAGTTTATTAATTGCTCACTAGATGGAATTTCGCGTATATGTCCTTGGAAATAATATCACTTGGTGGTGGTCGTGGTTCTCGAACATGTGACGCTTGAAGAGGATCGATGGCGCTGTTATAATGAGAAATTCACAGCATATTTACAGAGTGAATGATGATGAGTGGGGCGAAGCGTTCGCCCGGCGCGTGCTCTAGTGTGATAGGAGTGGACGGGTAGAGAGACAGACAGTCGGATGGGCAGACTGACAGATGCACAGACGCTTGGTCCCACTCATCATTCACCCCGTAGATATGCTGTGATTTCCTCTCAACTCTCATTCGTCAAAATCATCATGTGTGTTCTCGCCCTTCCTGTGTAGATATGATATTTCAGTAACCTGTGCCACATACCCGCATACCAGTGACACATACCCGCCCGCGGCTATGTGCCACTGTCTGGCGGAAACTGTTTGACGACGTACACAACGTGATTGTGGCATTATTCATGTCAATACCAGCTAGTCATGTTCGTCAGACCATCTTACTCTCCCATACTAATTTTGGTTTACACCACGTTTATGGGGTGATGACGAGACCACTCGGACGTAGGTGGTTAGATAGATAGATAGATAGATAGATAGATAGATAGATAGATAGATAGATAGATAGATAGATAGATAGATAGATAGATAGATAGATAGATGCCGAAATTGATGTTTATTTTCAGCAAGCATTTATCCACATTGCAAATTACACACGTAGGTTACAAGCTAAAAGAAATCTTTTTGAAAGTGCTATTTGGTGCCGGCCGAATTGTTTTAGCCATGTTGCAATTATCTACTTCAACGTTACTCACTGACAGGCACAGAAAGTCGTGAAGGAGATCATAGGATAGTCGCTGCGTGTTTATCAATGATAGTTAGGGTGTGTTATGACGTTGTGTCAGTGGCTGTCTAACAAAGCCACCCCCCCCCCCCCCATGTTGCCGACACCTAACATAAACTAATCAATCAGACTTCTTATAAATTGCTTGTTTCGTGATGATAAATTTTGTTAACTCTCTCGATCGCTGTGCCATGTTTGCTTTTTTCTTCGTAGTCATGTCTCAAGTTCAATTAAGCATCGCGTTTACTCCTGGCAAAGTAGTAAAATAGTGAATTACGTTTATAAAGTACGTTATTTTTCAAAGGGCAGAGCACCCACAGATCAAGAAACGCTTCACATGTCAAATGCTTGCTATCTATCACACAGACTGTGATCGAGTGACTGATACTCGCTTTTGCAAGAGGACAATGGCCGTACATGGGAAGTTTGCAAATCTGACGCTAAGAATCACCGGTCACCACGTACGTACCCTAAACCGTATGTCATCCGTAGTTGTACAGCGATTTATTTCAAGTTGTGTTCACTATATATCCGCCAGAAATGCGTGGTTGTGTGTTCTTGTTATCTATTGCACCACTTGCATAGCATTTTGCGGATTATTTTGTTACCTTGCGTGTGGGAGGGAAAGATAAGACCTGAATCCAAAGTGGGCCGAAACCACCTACTAGGTAAATGTCATAAAGGCGTACACATTTTTTGTATAAATGGCTACAGCTAATTTGGTTCGGTTTGTATGTGATACGGAGCAATCAAGGCTGGGAGAGGTCGGTACAAAACATGCATAAAATATTAAAATAACCTAGAAGACCTTAGTATAAGGAAACATGCTGCGAGAAGCTCATAGTACCTGGACATAAGCACTTCTAACCTACCAAGGTGCATGGGCAATATTATTCTCACCACTGTCATATACATCGGATAGCCCACTTCAATACCATCAGGGACATTTATATCATAAGGAGGGGCGGAAATGCTCGAAGGTTATGCACTTAGATACAAGTGCATGTTAAAGAGACCCAGCGACACAATTTGAGCACATGTCTTTTTCATCAGTTGTTCTTGTGCACATGGCATAGAATGCGCCGATATCTTTTCGCAAGTGGCCATGCCGAAATCGAAGCGGTTATAGTTTTAATTCACTGGAGAAACTACCGTGATTGCAGGCTACGGTGACACGCATTAGCTATATGTTAGAGAAGTTACGTCATGCCATGTGACGTGACGACAAGGACCATTCGTTTTCTATTGACTCGACGTGACATTTAGCATGCAATATTCATACGGTGGTAGCTATGCCATACGAATGAATGCTAAAAACAGTAAAAACACTATTTATACTTTCTTGGAAAGAAGCAATGTCTCTTGCTAAATCAGGTATGTTCAGATATACAAACGCGAGTACGTTCCTCTGAGCCAACATGGCCACCACGTTGTTGGAGATGGCGAGGTTCATGTGCTCAGATTTGGGTGCACGTTAAAGAACCCCAGGTGGTCGAAATTTCCGGAGCCCTCCACTACGGCGTCTCTCATAATCATACGGTGGTTTGGGGACGTTAAACCCCGCATATCAATCAATCAAATCATGAGATGGCGAGGTGGAGCTGGGTTCACAGTTGCGGCTGCTTTTTCAATGAGGGCGCTAATACTCCAGTCTTCACCAGACGACACTTCGTGTTATAATCTGGTCACCTCGAGATTTATGCGTGTTGGTGTGACCAAAGCGAAGCAACTAACTTGGTCGTGCGAGCGGTGCTAGTCACCGGCGTTAACCATCCGTAAACGTGGAAGCGTCTTCTACCCGACCCACATGGTTCGCCGTAAGCATGCTAACGACGCCGTCAAAAAGAGCAGTACAAGATACTGTATGAAGACCAATATGAGGTTACATTTCCGGTATGTCTTAATGACGCTAGTAGGCGATTGAAACGCGAATAGGAATATTTTAGTCGCCGTCTGCTCGAGTTTTGAACATTTAAGATTCCCAACTTCACTTTTCCCGGACCAATTTGCGTAAATTCTTGTCGCATTCGTCTTAATTATCATTACTACACGCGTTTCAGTGCTAATAAAGCTGCTGCAAAATTGTCGCGGAACACCAGCTGGCGAAAATTTCTGAATCACACCGTTACGGCGTCTCTGATAATGATATTGTGGTTTTGGAACGTGAAACAAAAAGAGCTATTATTTACTCGTAAGGTATTAGTTTGCTTTTATTCTTTAAAACATCACGGTCATATTCACGAAGTGAGCGAAGTAAGAATAGCTTGCTCGGAGATGATCGGCTAAAATACGCATACTCCGTGCGCGTCTGTTATTATCATATATAGGTGTGACAACGTCCATATATATCCTGAGCTGTCACCACAGGGTCTTGCAGCCAGCCTGAACTGCTGTTGTGTTGCGAACCCACCGCGCTACTGCCTTGGCTTCTGAGGTATTCATGCGGCTGAGCGGTAATGAAATGAGTCTATTAGGTTAGCTCCCAGTAAAGAGAAAGTAAGTGCACGTGCCGAGAGTGGCACTCGCCACCTCGAGCGGTGGCACGTCATTGTTAGGATCACCGGAAAGAACCCCTTTAGCAACTTCACTAGAGTGTAGGATATAGTAAAATAAGCCCTGAGGAATGGCGCGCCATCTAGTGAGCTTTGTTGAATCACGAGAGAGCCGACGCTTTGAGTGGCAGCCCGTTTTCTAGTGAGCATTTCTGGAATCACCTTTAGAAGTGTACACGCCGCCACCGGGCAAGGCGCAAGCATTAGATACTCGCCATACAAGCTCCTAAAATGGACATGCGCGTACGTGACCCACGCAGTTACACCACCTAATTGTCGATGAGATTAATTATTGGGTCACAAATTTTGCCTGTGCGGATGCGAAAATATCGATTCTGTGTTCGTGCAGATGCCCCCAATGTCGACTGTGGTGACCCTACCAGACGGAACAGCAAAGTTTTCTGGAATGTCCGGCTTCATGTTTGATCTCGTCTCCGAGTCCATGGGTTTCAAGTGAGACAAAAGTTCATTAGTGGTTCATACGGCGCGGCGTAGGTGCGTGCGCTCTCGCATTTCTAATTTGAAGCCTGGAGTGTCTGTACCAATGAAATTATTATGGCGTGTGCAGGTACGTGGTAAAGCTACCACCTGACTACAGCTGGGGTGCTCGGGACGCTCACGGTCGTTGGGCCGGGCAGTTTGGCATGGTGGTCCGCAATGTACGTTTACATCTAGTTGCTCTTCTATCTGTTTCTTAGGATTGTTTTTTCTCACAAGTGTCGAACCGTCAAAAAATGTGGTTACAAAAAGGCACGTCCTCAACGGTAAGCCTTCAGATATACACTCAGAAAAATTACACAGGATCCCTCGTGCCTAAGAAAAGTCGAATGCTATCACCATCACTGATGGGCCACGAAAGGTTTCATACCATTTGCCGCGTTTTGAAGGTCAGTGTCCGTCGGTTCAATAGCTGATGATGATTGGGGTGAATTGTGTCTAGGCCCTCTGTAATTGCCTGGCAGCTTGACACTACGCAATCATTACACAATTCACATGGTGTGACTCCTAGGACGCAATCTTACGCTTCTGCCACACATTAAACTGCTCCAGGTGACATGCCTTCTTGATACACATGGTCACTGACTGCATAAGGTATATTTACGAAAGGCTTTCAAGCGCTGGAGTTCGCTCTGCAGCGGAATACCTGGGCTGCATTCTAGCTTGAACTGTGACTTTTATTAAGATCGTGCGAGTGGCTGTACCACAAGCTGCGTTTTAGAGTGAAAACTGTTAGCGGATCACAAGGGCCGATCCTAACACCGTATATGCCGGTCCGCCGCCACTGCTGTCCGTAACGTGGTGTCCGTAACCGCTGCCACTCCGAAAGCTGAATTAAAACGAAATAAATAAGAAATGCCGAAGATAAAGTGGAATTCGAACCCAGGCCATCTACACGGCAGCCAAGTAATCTACTGCAGGGCCAACCAGTGCTTGAAAGTCTGGTGCAAACAGACCCTTTGTAGGCATTGTGTAGGGTAAGGAATCTTCTTAACATTTGCAATAGAGAATTTTAAAAGAGTAAAATACTAGCCAGGCTTCACACAATGTCAATTGCGTAATGAATGAATTGTTCAATGTTTGCAACCTGTCAAAAATTCCTCAGCCATAGTTTTCCATTGCCATCGGCCACACCATCAGAATCTGCACATAAAGCCTTCCAGGTGGTTAGCAGAGACCAAACAGCACCTAGGCGAAGTGGTGTTGATGTACCTCGCTTACTCGAATAATGACCAATAACGGTGCAGTAGATGCTTCCTGACGTCACAAAAATTATGATGATTTGTGGCGTAGGGGGCTATGTAAGTGTACTTGTAATATTTGCCCCAAGAGTATTCAGCAAAAGCTCTTATCTCTGTGACTGTGCAGCATGTTCTGTGAAGGCGTGGCAATTTTGTCCAAGGTCAATGACTAATGAAACGCTTAACCTTAACTTCAAAATATTAAGGGTGCAAGAAAATTGAAAAGGTTAACGCTATCGCATGAGCCTGAAACTGAATGAGGAAGACCATGTGTTTGAACGCTAAAAAACACCATCAACATATACCAACCTATTACTAACGCTGTTATGAGATCACAACAGTCTATTCTGCTGGCATAGTTGCAATTGTCACCACAGATGCCACTGTCTGTAACTGCTATTGTCCACAATAAAAAAAAGAGGTTGAGTGGAACACAGCCCCTCTGCATAATAGTTGAATAATCTCACTGTGTTTCTGCGAGTTAGGGCGTGTGTGTATTGACCAGGTTATCAGAAATTTCTCTGAATAGAGCAGAAATCGAGTGATAGTGTTGGAGAATCAAAAAATGAAGCATTGTGTGCAAAGTGTGCAAGATCTATAAGCATTGTGCAAGCATTGTGTGCAAGAGCTATAAATCACTCGCTTTGTTCTCGAAAAGTGATGTCATACATCGAAGTTAATGCGCAATATACCCAAAGTCCATAGCCACTGGTTGGTTTGAGTTGCATAGTTACCTCGGCCGCCGTGGAATACTGCCACATGTCTACGCGCTCTCTTGCGATCACACATTAGGAGTCGGCCGCGCGCTCACGAAAAATCGCACTATGTTCTTTTCCTCTTGTCATGCACCTCCATAAGTTTGTTACGAAATACGACAGAAAGCGTTTGAACCATGCAACCAATTCCTGTAACTTCGCTCATAGTTGACGGATTGTGAAAAAAATTGTGGCAGTCTATTCATCACGCAATAAGTTGTAATGATGACGTTATCGACGATTACTTGAAAAAAGTGTTGCAGGGAACCTAGAAAGAAAGCGCTCAATATAACTTTTGATGGCACATCAAAAGCAAAAATTGTAAGTATCGGTGGTGTCAGCACGAGGTATGCAAAAAATAATCACGTGACGACGCTGCTGTATGGCATATTGCCAAAATATGTGGCGTTGTCATGATTCATGACATCACCAGACGTCCAATGGAATGGTGTCACCCTGTGACGACATCAAACGACACAGAGGTGGGCCGATCACTGGTGCAAGATAAAACCAAGTGAGGCTCACAATGCTTGAGCGCCGCCGATCTTGGGTAGGGTCATATAAAACCACGTTAGGTGTGTCATAGCCTCTGAGATGAGGGGCGCGCGGCGGGTTTTTCTCCAGTCATCCCAATAGCACGAAGAAAGCGTGTTTCCAAAGGTGGGAGTGGCCCGCTCTTTTTTCCGCACTGCGGTGCTCGTTCGTACGGTCGAAAAGGATGTCGCGCTATAGTGGCGAAGTTTGCATGTGGGAATAAATAAATGGTTTCGCGCTTTTATATAACTTCGCTTTCATTCGGGAATGTCGGACCAGGGTGAACGAGAGACAAAGTACCAATGCGGGGCGCATATATTTTCAAGTGAACTTTTTTGCTGTAGATTTGCATCGCCCATATTAGAGCACTTATAATCAAGATGCCTATGCAAGAGATTCGTAATTGCTGGAAACTTGCTCTACTTCGAAGTTTGCAGGCTGTGTATAGTTTGAATCGCTGGCGAAGAGTAAAATTACAGCTTTATTAACAAACGAAGTAAGAAGAGTGCCGTGTTCAACGCTCACGGGTTACACTCGTTCAAAAGGGTTTCTTCGTCTTTCATTTCATGGAACTAGCCCTAATTTTCATTGTAACGCCGTTTCAAGAATCCTCCCGTCGAGCCGCAGGAGCAGGATGCAGGGCGGAGGGTGCAGGCGGTCGCCATGAGTCTAGACATTGTCTGGTCTGAATGTCGCTGGTTCAGTGACGACCACGGGCTGGTTACAGGCACGTTTTATCACTTGTGGTTGCCCATTTGCACTCTGTGCTTCACGGTGTTCAGTGGATACGTTGGGCAATGTAAGAACGAACATCGAAATGTTTTGCTAGATCAAAAAGTACGCAACACGCGTTCAAAGTTTGATGTACTTTCTACAAAACACTGCAATGTTACATTACAGTGACAATTTGCACTTCTTTCTTTAGCAGTCTACTTCGATTAATACTTCGTTTCAATTTGACAGACGGTGTTATGCTAAATGTGCAACCATTTGATTTTGATGCAGTCGAGTGTACAGCAAGTGAAGACAACACTGATATTGTCATTATGCTACCAAAACAATTAACATTCAAAAGACGAAAAAAGAGAATGTGACAACTCAGGCGCTTTCAATGTGAAAGATGTGGGGAGTAAATGTAGGTCATCTAGTCGAAGCCTTTATTCCGGAAAAATTACTTCACACGTACCTTATTTCAGTGACATGACCAGGGCCCTCAGTTATCTAGAACGTAACTGCGATTCCGTTGACCACCTCATAAATATTCGTACGCTATATAATAGGAAAATACGAGTCAACATAGGAGAGCAATGCGTTTCAACGACGATATTAGCCATGTTTTCCCCCATACAAGTCTCCAGAAAGGAGGAATGCTAGAATGCCTCTGTATTTCTCAAATAGAAGTATTTAGCACCGAGACAAATCGGGCCGTAATGAAAAAAATAATACTGTCAGAGACGCATTGATACCTTCCTACATTTACCTATCGAAAAATGCAGCATTTGCTATGCTTTTCTTCGCAAATTGAACAAAACAAATGCAGTAACAGAAAAAAATACTCTCCTTCAGTTCAGCCAGACGATCTTGGCCGTCATCCTTGCTTGTAAGCGGAAAAAAGAAAGCATGCGCACGCTAGAATCACGTGTGCTCTGCTGTATGCCATGGTATTAGCCACCGCCGGTACCCTCACTCAATACGCCCTCTCAAGGTTTCCGGGGGCGCAAGGCGATACTTGTTTGTTTTGCTAGGGAACGTGTCAATTTACAAAGCCTGAAAAAAAAAAAAAAAAAACACGCCACGCGCCCGCTTTTTCGGAGGCCGTCGGTGCGTGCAGAAACCATTAGAGGGAGAGGAGGAGAGGGTATAGTGCATCGATACAGAAGAAATAAAAAGGGGGAGGGGGCTTGCTCCTTTCAATCGTTTTCTAAGTAAGGAACTCTGCGAGAATGTTTATTCGGCTTCATCGATTAGCTCATTCGTTAGAACCGTTACTTTGATGAAAAAGCTGTTAACACATAGACCAGTCCAAAGTTTATGGGGTATTGTACTGCACTTGTTATAATACAGCCGCTTTAGGCCGCCGTTGACATCAGAACACCATATTAAGTGCTTTGAGAAAATGAATGAGTAACTTATAGCTAAGCAGCTCTATGTGCATAGCCAGAAACCAAACTTGTTGCAGGAAAGCGACATGTTGGTAGGGCCCGTGGCGCCCACGGAGGACAGGGCCTCGGCACTGGAGCCGCTGCCGCAGTTCTACTACAGTGAAGCTGGGCACTGTGGAGGGCTCACCAACCCTTACGTCACCAACGTATTTGGATACGTCAATTCTTTTGACGTCGATGTGAGTGAATCTGCACCTACTCGATGCATGGTTGCTCTAGCGTGCCTCCACTCAGTCATATACGACACGCACGTGAAGCGGCTGAGCGTTACGGTCCCCGAAAAAGCCATGTTCAGCTTCTGAAAGGGGCCCCACAGCACCTTTTGAGCATGGTCAGAAAACACCTTTATGCCCATCGGTAGCCGAGGCTCCCGACAACACGCTAGCTCTATATACAGCTCAATGCGTGCCCTTAAATTCACAATGAATTATCAGTAAGCTAAAAATTGCTTTCTCTTTAGTTGACAAATGACGCCACAAACTCAAAAATTATTGGTCACAGCCGTTGTATAAACCTTAGGCTAATTTGAGCGTGGGGCTCTCAATCATATCCGGGACAACCGCGGGAGTTGCGGCTTGTCCATGTGTGCGTGAGCCATCGCACTGAGAAGCCGCGCCTTTGAATGAAAAAAAAAAAAAAAAGATGGAGAAAAAGTGCTCGAGGTGACCAAGCGTGCGTGACGAAATTTCTTAGCCCGTGTCATTCCTCTCTGCTTAGCTTCTAGCGCTTTCGTAGGGATGAGAGAAGAGAAAATACAATTGAAGCGTGTGACAAATCATTTGGCGAATTCCACTGGTAGATTCAGAGCGGCCGCCGAAATCCTGGAGCGAGCACTCGGATTGCGCAAGCCAGATCTGCGAGTGGAACACGTGAATGCCCCACGTGAGGTCGCTTCGGAAGTTCTTTGCACATACGTCACTAAACCAGCACTAAAAACTTCCTCGACATAGGTGATTATCTTCGGCTATACTGCCAAGACTTTGGCCATGCACATGATGGGAAAGCATGTGTGGCTCGTCGTCTTCGCTGCTGCTACTGCTAGCAGAACTAGTGCTCTCGCTGTCACTCAAAGCGAGAAGAAAACGAGCAGCAGCACATTCAGCAGCATCAAACAATGCCTTCTTGTAAATGTGCTCGGTGCACCGCCTCAAAAAAGAAAAGAAAAAGGAAAAAAATAAAAAATTGGCCCCGTATCTGCAAGTTAATCTGCAAATGTCATCGTAAGACGATAGTCTTGCGTGTGGAGAGAGTGAACAAAACATTTATTTGATGTTCTGCGCAAGCAAATTGGTGAATAGTATTCTGGAGACGCTGCGTTTGAGTGCCTCGAGTGTGCAGCAGAGGCGAACGAGCGCATCAAGTCACGTCACACGTGAGACATGAGCGCTATCAGGCAGTTTTCTTGGGAAATGAAGGGCGTGGCTCTGAGATGGGTGTGCGCGCCTGTCTCAGATGTATCACCTCTGAGACAGGTGTAGAATGCAAGGCAACGGCTAGGTGCCACCACCATTTCATCTCTCACTTTAAAAAAAAAAGCGAGTAAAAAGGGTGTCTTTTTGTCCCGCAACAATAATAGTCATCTATATTGCGTTCCATCCTTGCGCTATCGCCCCGCGCCTGGTTCATTCCGGTCACAATCGACATGCCCATTATCAGGGTTACATTGCATTCTCGATAGGAAAGTAGCCAGTGCCGAGTTTTCAAGAAAGGAAGCGCACGCAAGCCTGATGACGATTATTGTTGTGGGACAAAAAGACACCCTTTTTACTCGATATTTTTTAGAGTGCAGCAAAGCGTTGGAAACACTCCCCGTTCCATGCAAGCGTCGCGTGGTCAGCGCAGCGTGATAAGCGCTACGGTCCTTAAAATTACATTTGTATGCCTATTCTAGTAAAAGACGCACATACAGAATATATACTTGTTGTTATGCTGCCCAGACATGCGCAATATTTGTTTTGTATATGACAATTGCCCAAGTATCAACGCTAAATCTTGAGCAGCATTCGTGGGCGCTACGGATGGGGTCGGCCGTTTCAAGTACCCAGTGCCGTTAAGAGTGGACAAACAGACAAGTGTACAGACCGACATACATACATACATACAGACAGACCGACATACATACATACATACATACATACATACATACATACATACATACATACATACATACATACATACATACATACATACATACATACATACATACATACATACATACATACATACATACATACATACATACATACATACATACAGACAGACAGACAGACAGACAGACCATAATTTTTGCGTCGAATGTCGTCTTTAAAAAACGCTGACGCCAGCACCGCTGCCTACTGTACCGGAAATGATGACAATGCATTCTCGGAGTTCCCGCGAAATCTGTCTCTTCAAGACGGAGCACGCGGAAGGCTCCGTCACGGAGTAGGCTGCTCCTAATCTGCCAGTAGAACACGCGAACTTGCTCTGAATCTACCCGTATAATGCAGATTCTCGGCCACGGAGCAAGAAAACTTGCTCCCGCTCGACGAGTGGAATTTGCCATTTGTTGCTGCGCTCGTACGGGACGGAGCAGAAAAATTTTTGAGACGAAGAATTCGTGAGACAATCAGCTACTTTAGTGAATCAATTTCATGCTACATGAAAGAATTGTTGCAGGGCCCCTTTAATGAAAATAGCTCTTGAGCATGCATGCGCAAATCCTTTAGAAATGGCTCATAAAATCTAGGCTAGGGGAGCAGCAGAGTTCGTTCAGTATAATTTACAACACTGTAATTACCTAGTGCGTGGAAAAACATGGACAAGAAAATACGGGACAGTTGCTAAATACTCGTCTTTCTCGTCTGTCCCTGTAGTGCCGCGCATGTCCCGTCTTGGACTGTCCGTGTTTTTTTTATGCGCTGGAAAACTGAAGTATGACGTACCAACGCGCCCAAAACACTACGGTAATAATTTGCCAGCACCATATTCAAAATACACGAGAAACAAACATAAAAAAAGATTTATTCATTTGGGTGCGTGTTATTCGCTCCTTTAATCTTACTTTGGCGCACCAAAAAAGACACCAGCGCTGTCTCCTCGAACTGAAATTCAATATACGCTTCAACGGGGTGTCACTGAGGCCAGCCTAGAAAGGTCGCACTGATATGCAGCAATGAACGAGGATGAAGAAGAATATAGTAGTGGAAGAAATACCCCAACACTGCTGATCCCTGCATCGTGGAATCAGTGTAACACAAAAGTTAACCGCGTCTGCACAGGAGTACTTGATTGTTCATTGTACATTGATGCATGAGAGCTAACAGGGACTATGCTATAACTGCTTGATGAGGATGCACCCATGTCGACGCCTAGTAGCACATCTTGATTGATTGGTATGTGGGGGTTAACGTCCCAAAACCACCATATGATTACGAGAGACGCCGTAGTAGAGGGCTCCGGAAATTTTGACCACCTGGGGTTCTTTAACGTGCACCCAAATCTGAGCACACGGGCCTCTTCACTCGACAACTAGCGCCCATGATGTTTATTTAATGCGTATGGTAGTCGAAGTATTATGTTATATGCGGACACAGGATGAAGTAAATCCCGTGGAAAGATGGCATCAACAAAAACATAATACTACGAGGCGGCAGAGATGAACATGATAGGGAAGAAGATGATGTATAACGCTATCTCGTGCAGACTGGGCTCAATCTTGTTCGCCTGCCTTCGAGTGTTAATATATTCTTAAACGCCTCCCTCCCCGTAACATTTTGATAGAAGTGGAGGCACTCCCAGAGACAACACCTACAACGAGTTCACGCAGCGAACGTTCCTTAGCTGCCTCTGCGATGCCTGATCAAGGCGAGAACGAAGATTCTTCGGAATATAGCCCTAACGTGCCTCGTCCAACTACTCAAGAACCAACAGCACCGCATCCAGCCGGTACTAACCACACCCTCATTTTGACCAAACCGCGTGATCGAGACACCTCTTCTGGCAATGACAGCACTGACGTGAAGGTGATTTAGCTGTACGAATGGGTGAGCACACTGTACAACTGGGATGCGGCACTCATCTTGGCCAATAGTATTTTCTACCTTGATGGCACAGCTAAAGCGGTTTTCCATCCACGAGGAAACGATCACGAGTTGGGACATCTGTAAAAATAAACTCATTAATCTTTCAGGCAAGCCCATTGGGCGTCGTCGTCCTGCGCAGAAAGAACTCGCATGCTGAATCCAGTCCTGCACCGAGTCACACGTTACCTACATACAAGATGTGCCCGCCCTCTGCCGGAAGGTCAACGACTGGATGCCTGAATCTGGAAAGGTCGCGCACAACCTCAAAGGAATCGTGGATGACGCTTTTACTCCCCTCAAGTTTCAAAACTCATCAACGGTTGGCCACGTCAATAATGAATGCCGATGCTTTGAAGAAGTGATAAGCCCTCGTATTACTCCATATTCTTCACGTCTCCCCAACATGACTGCAACATCTACCTGCGAGGACGCCCATTTACCGCCAGTCGCTGCTGCTTCCGACAATATTTTGCACAACGTGGCCTCGAAATTGAGGCCATATCTACAACTTCTGACCGATTCCTTGCCCCTGACGACTCTCGCACAATGATTTCATTGATACAGACTGTTGTGTGCCAGGGACTGGCCAACGTTGGACTTCAGACGCTCTGCCCTATTAACAGAACCGACCCAGTGCAGCTGATATGTCCCGTGGCCCACACAACCGTCCACGTTACCGAAAGTCGGCTGAATGGCTAAACTCCGATGACAGACCAATCTGCTTCTGCTGCGGAGGAGTAGGTCATATTATTGTCATTGCCGCAGTTCCTGGGATCGGCAGCCATGGCCACGCTATGCCAACACCCGCCGTTCACGAAATGGCTCCCGCGTACCGTTGCACGCTGACCAAAATGATGCTTCGCCATCCATGCCCACTCGATCAAACCACTCTCCATGGCCAACCGGACGCCTGACCCACTCACCTAACTGTCGCCGCCCTCCCTCACTCTCCTACCACTGCCGGTCTTCGGAAAACTGACAGGTGACCATGCAACTCCTAAAAAGATAACACCTGGCGCTTCTGTGTCCGCTACCTAAATCCTAAATGTGTTACAAAAAAGACGTGTACCCCCGGCCATGGATATATGACGCCCTTGACTGCCTTAGTGGATCAA